TCTATTCGGACCTGCTGGGTAAAGCCACGAGGAACCCCAGAACGGGCTCCCACACACAACACAGGCTTGCTGGCCATGACCTGGCTCTCTGGCTATCCTGCTCCATGGCTTGGTTCACTGTGGCCTGACAAGGGTGACTTGGATGTGCCTTTAGTGGTAAAAGCAAGACTTGAGTCCACTCTGGCTTCTGCCAGTTGACACAGTGTGAGTGGTGGGCCCTCTCCTCTACAGAATTAGACTACTCTCCCATGTTGGAGCTGGTTAACTCCAGCTCCTCCATGTCCCACAGCTACACCAGTCTGGAAGTTAACACAATGTTGGATGATATAGTTATCACTCACTATTTCCTTGGGACATGTTCTCAGGGATATGGAAGTTTAGGTGGGTTCTGGGTACCAGCTAATTTAAATGGATGGGAAACAAAATTTCCTGTCTCCTAGTGATCCTCCACTGGAGTGAGGCAGCAGGGTGGCCAGGGAAGGGCTCATGCCAAAAAGCCAAATAGAGAGCTACTAGAAGTCATGGGAATAGCAATCCAGGGGACAAGCCAGATAATGGAAGGCCAATATAGGATGGGGGCCAGTGCACTGAAGCAAGAGTATAAGGACAGAAGTGGGACTACAGTGCAATGCCCTGCAGGTACAAAACCTGTAGTGGGCGACGTGCTGGAGTTTGGAAATAGCTGGAGGTTCTCCCCATCTTGCCCAGATGCCCCAGTTCCCATATGACCAGATCCAAGTAAAAGGATCCAAAGAGTATTAGTGAAGGTAAGCAGGAGTAAAAGTGGGGCAGATGTGTAGGCATGCAGTTGTATGGGTGAATATGCAGGTAGGCACACAGGCAGGCAGGTAGATATTTGTGCAGGTGTAGGTAGGCAGCTACAGTATTGTGCAGATGCGCAGCTGTGCAAGCAGACAGATAGATGGGTGCACATAAAGGACAGGAGGGAAAGTGCACAGGTCAACAGACAGGCAGATAGACAAGTAGGTAGGCAGGTGCACATACAGACAGGTGTGAAGGTTCACAGGGAGGCATGTGTACAGGTGGGCAGGTACACAGTTTTCCAGGTGTGCAGGTACACAGATGTGCAGCTGTACAGGCAGATGGGGGTATGTAGGTGTGCATATAGACATAAAGGCAAGTTCACAGGCAGCCAAATAGAAAGTTATACATATGGATAGATATGCAGCTATATATTCAGGCAGGTATACAAGCTGTCAGGTGAGCAGGTGTACAGGTGTATGGGTGCACAAGTATGTGGGTGTACTAGTGAATGGGAAAGGTAGTGTTGAACAGTTCCCATTTGGGACACTCTAATAGCAGCCACAGTACCAGATCAAGATTCCCATGGTGTGGGGTTTGGACTACAACTAACTCCATATCCGCCCCCACATTCACCTACCTCCTGGGCAGACATGGCTGTCCTCCCTGAGTGGTACCTTGTCCCCTCCATTCTAGGTTGACTCTACCAAGTACTATGAAGCCTGTGTGCATGATGTGTGTGCCTGCGACTCAGGGGGTGATTGTGAGTGTTTCTGCACTGCTGTGGCTGCCTATGCCCAGGCCTGCCGTGATATGGGTGTGTGCTTGTCCTGGAGAACACCAGACATCTGCCGTGAGTAGAGCTCTGTCCATGGTACTGAAGGGTGGGACTGTGAATGAGGTGGGTGGCAGCCTCTGTACTTCCCTCCTGGCTTGGATTCTGGTTCTCTCTCTCTCTCTCTCTCTCTCTCTCTCTCTCTCTCTCACTCTCTCTCTCTCCTGTGTGTGTACATATGTACACACATCTATATATATACATGTGTTTTTTGGACACCTGTTATGAGGTAGTTGAGGCTGGGGACTGCAGGATCTGGGTTAGGGAATGAACCCAAGGAGACCATCTGCCTAGCCCAAGGCTGATATGTCTGGGTGTAATCCAGCATGAGGCCTAGTAGGCACCTGCTTAGCTCTGTCCTCTGTGTTCAGCTCTTTTCTGTGACTACTACAACCCTCACGGGGAATGTGAGTGGCATTACCAGCCCTGTGGAGCCCCCTGTCTGAAGACCTGTCGAAACCCTGCTGGACACTGCCTTGTTGAACTGCCAGGCTTGGAAGGTGAGGATGGAATGTGCTAGTAGTGGCCTTCGGGCCCATAACCCATGCATGGTACCACTAGGGCAGACACAGTGTCCTAGGGGTTCTCTGCCACCGATTGGGAGCTGGGCAGCTGGATACGTGCCCAAGAGGATAGAAAGCCAATGATGCCCTTGTCTGCTCTAGGCTGCTACCCACAATGCCCACCCAGCCATCCCTTCTTCAATGAGGACCAGATGAAGTGTGTGGACCAGTGTGGATGCTATGATGATGATGGAAACTACTACAACATTGGCACAGAGGTTCCTACAGCTGAGAACTGCCAGAGTTGGTGAGAGAGGAGCTAGGGATGGAAGAGGATAGAGACCCAGAGTGGTTGGGAAAGGGCAGGGGAGGGCTAAAGCATGTGTCAGCTAGGGGGTGCTCATAAGGTCCTCAGAGCCCTCTCTTCCCTCCAGTCTCTGCACCCCTGGTGGCCTCAGCTGTGTTCACAACCTTACAGGTAAGCAAAGGCTGTGGGTTTGGGGTTGGAGGAAGGCTGGATGCTGAGTAAGCTGAGCCGATACATATAACCCCCAGCCTGCACATGCACCTATGAGGGCCGTACCTACCACTTCAATGATGTTGTCTACAACACCACGGACGGCCTTGGTGCATGCTTAGTGGCCATCTGCAAAGACAATGGGACTATAATACGCACAGCTGAAGAGTGCCCTGAAGTCTTGTCTACCACACCATTCACATTCACCAGTACCTTGGCACCCAGTGCCACAACAGGTAAGACCATACCAGGTTCTCTGGAAGCCCCTGAGCTCTAAGCTATTATGTTAACCCAGGGAGAGGCTTGGCCACATCTAGGACAAAGGAAAATGACAAGTTGTCGATGCAGGGAACTCCAGCTACAGAGGTATCTTGAGTCCTGAGCCATTGTCCACTTGCCCAGACCCTGCCTGGGGTCCATGGCCCTTACCCCTCTATGATTCCCCAGGAAGCCTTAGCACAACTGGCAGAACTGCCATCAGGGACCCCAGAAATTCTCAGGTTCCATTTGTCCTTGGTGTGCACCACCTCAGTTAGTGAGCTCTCTCAAGACTATTAGCTAGGTCCTGGAACAGGTCAGGAATGTTGTGTAAATGTGAAGACTCATCTGTTCCCTCACCCTGAGACAAGAGGAGCTGAGCAGGGCCTTTATCTCTTTCACACAGGCTCAGCTTCCACTGTGTCCACTGTGTCCCCTGTGTCCACTGTGTGTGTCCGGGAGGTCTGCCACTGGTCCAGTTGGTATGATCAGAGCTATCCACAGCCTGGCATGGCAGGTGGGGACTTTGAAACATTTGAGGACCTGAGGCGCAAAGGGTATCAGGTGTGTCAAACCCCTGCTGCCATTGAGTGCCGTGCAAAGAATTTCCCCAGCACGGACTTACAGGAGCTGGGTCAGAAGGTGGACTGTGACCCTTCCTGGGGGCTGAAATGCCTCAACAGTGAGCAGAACCCCCCACTCTGCTACAACTATGAGCTGAGGGTTCTGTGTTGTGAATATGTACCCTGTAGTTCCCCCATGCCCTCAGGCGGAAGTACCACTCACTCCCAGCCTGAGACCGGTACTCAGACAACATTCACAGTATCTAAGCCCACACCCTCCAGGACCACAAAAAGGAAAGAGACATCCCTGGATACAACTCACAACTCAAGGAAAACAGTGGCAGTCACCTCAAAAGGAAGAACAGCTTCACAATCCACTGTGTCGAGACACTCAGTCAGCAGCCTCCCCATGACCAGCCCTACGTGGACTACAATAGTGAAAGAGACCACCTTGCACACAACGCTTAGTTCCCAGCCAACATCAGTATTCACCTCACAGACAGGGTCCACTTCAACAGCCAGTGTGGTCACACAGTCAGTCAGCAGTCCCGTCACCTCCACCACCTGCCAACCCCGATGCGAGTGGACAAAGTGGTTCGATACAGACTACCCCAAGTCTGACAAAGAGGGAGGGGACATTGAGACATATGACAGGATCAGAGCTGCTGGGGCAGATATCTGTGAACAGCCTCAGGACATCCAGTGTGTGGCCCAGAACTACCCCGATATCAGCCTGGACCTGTTGAATCAGGAAGTGAAGTGTGATGTCAACTTTGGTCTGATGTGTCACAACAGGGACCAGCAACACAAATTTGGGATGTGCTTCAACTACATGATCCGTGTGCTGTGCTGCAGTGACAGCCACTGCCAGGGACCTGCCACCACTGCAGGGTCTCCCCCTACACCAGGCACTGCCACCACTGCCACTCAGACCCTGTCCTCCAAGCCTTATC